TGTCTATAATGGAAAGGTTTGCTTCCTCTTTTGACATAGCCTATCATTCATGTGGATTTTGGTTTGAAACTTCTGGCGACTTAATGGCAATTCCAGGGCTTTATGCGTTTGTCCAGGTTTGTATGGCCCTTTATACTGGCACAGCTGTACTTGTGGCCCAGAACAATGGACATCAACGTCATAGACAATCCGAGGTAAGACTTAACTCGTGGAAGTCATAAGCATACTCATGAATGCCTCTCAGCGCGGTGTTGGAATGCTGGAAGTGAAGGTTGTCAGGGCGACTGGCCTCAAGAAAAATGACTGACCCGGTTCGTGTTTGCCAAGAAGAAAACGACCGCGAAAATCAACAAGAAGAACGAAACCTTTCACAGGCTGTTATGTTTGAAAAGGTACGTGGTTCTATAAGCACAGTAGCGAACTTAAATTGGCTTGCAGATCAACAAGACTGATTGCCCAATGATCGAAGCCTCGTGACCCACAAAGTGTCCAAGGAGGATCAAGACGCTTCAATCGAAGCTTATAAAGCTCCCGAAGGATATGGTTTGCCTGTCCATGGTGTCGAAGACTTGGAAAGCAAGCATCACACGAACCCGTACGTGAGGCTCGCATTTAGCAAAGGAAACCAAGGTCAGTAGAGTCCCGTTGGTTTGGTGTTTTATCTTTCTCTGGTTTGTTCGCGCGTTTCAGGCTATAAAGAAGATCCTGGATGGGATCAAGAGTTTTAGCGGAGCCACCAGTGGAGGACCGCTTGCGAGTGGAAAGCAATGGGAAATGCACCACCTGAGTGTCAGTTTGGCCTTGATCGACGCAAAATTGAGACAACACGCCAAACTGATTTGTGGTTAATTAACGGCACACTTTGTTAAGAAACTTTAATTTTTGTACCGTATTAGGTCAAAGCGGAGCTATGGCGGTGGTGTGGGTGAAGCGGGGGGACGAGGCGCTGTGCTTCCCACTCCAGGACGGCGCCAAGATGATGGTGAGCTCCATCGCTCGTCACTGGGGCCTGGACCCGGACTCCCTCCGCATCGGCGACTGCGCTCTAGTCCCAGACGCCGACGGCAACTCGGTGCTCTCTCTTGACGCCATGGTAGCCTTGCTCCCCGAGTTGGGCGATGGTAGCAGCTACGACCAAGCACTCCTCGTCACTGGCCGCCGCTGCTCTGCCACCAGGAATGCGTGCTCGGCTTGCGATCACCCCGCCGTCCAGGATCTCATCCGGCAGCGAGACGAGGAGGATCTGGTGGCAAGGAAGAAGCAAAGGAGAGAGACCGCAGAGTCGAGGCAGCTCAAGGCATTCCACAGCAGTGTCGAAAACCTGTGGTCGTACGTCAAGGAGCTCGAGGGCGGGGGCCCGTTTAGGCGCTTGAGGCCAGAGCAAGCTCGCGAACTGCTGCAGTCCAGGGTCTCCAAGATGGTGGCGCGCTTGCACTTTGTGGAGGGCGATGACGAGCCGAGCGACGACAACTACAGGGGGATGGCCGCCTTGGTGAAACCCGATGGATCTTGCTTCACCGCCGCCGCTTGCTGCGACTGTAGCTCCACCTCTGGCAGGTACATCCTGGTGTTCTCGGATCCAGCACTGCAGTACGAGTGCATGGTGTCTTTCAAGGATCCGATCGCTGTCCTGACGCCGATCGAACCTGGCGTCAGCTTCAACTATTGCATCAACTGGGATGGCTGGATCTGCAAGTCGGGTAGTCCCTATAGCTGGAAGCGCGACCCAGAGTCCGGGGACATCAAGTGCGTGTCGGGCATCTTCCTTGAGGATCGAAGCCTTAGCAGTGGGGAGTGCGAGCCTTACCGCATGGTGATGCTTCCGTTCGAGATGGTGGAGGTTGGTGCTCCAGTACTTGATAGCCGGGGAAATCTTGGCGGAATTGTGGTGGAATTCGAGGAGATCCCGGCTCGCGATACTCGGTCCAAGAAGAACAATGGGCAGAGGAAGTTCGATATGATTAGCATCCGTGACTTCTGCAACGAGGTGGTCAGCAGGGATCCTGACTTCGCGAAAGGTTTGGTTTCCGGCCTCCCTTCTTCTTGGCAGTTTTAACTTAACTGTAACTGTTTGATGTCCTCAGCGCTCGGTGCTGCCCTTGAGCGCCGGAAAGCAGCCGTTTATGTGGCGTGTGTCGAGACTGGTCTGACGACTCTTTGGAAGGATTGGATGACAACTCATCCCATCGAAGGTAAGATTCATTCTGGAATACGTGAATTTGACTCCGAAAGTTGTGGTTTTTATTTGACACAGAATTTGAGATTGATGAGCCTTGAAGTAAGAGGTGTAGCACTGTCAAGGTTTTTGGAGATCTATCAACGAGGAAGACCTCCATTCAGGCTACGTAAAATCTTTAGCTAGTATAAGATAGGAGTGTTTTGGAGCTGAATCCAAAGCTTGGAGAACTGGAAGTTTTTGTTCGCGCCGAAAAGGAATATTCGGCATCTTCTTGCAAAGAATCGTTTTTGGGATATTCATGCTTTGCTTGTTCTTTCGTTTTTGCAAAGATTTCGAGAGGGAGAAGGAAGAGGAATAGCAACTCGCATCTTGCATCTTTTTTTTTTTTCTCTTCCCAAGCTAAATTCCCAAGGTAAAGTTTCTATGGCTCTTGCAACTCCGACGCATCTTGATCTCGAGCATCAATCAAGCGCCCCGCCCACCACTTATAAAAACTCCACTCCTCTTGTATCTTTGAACGCGCTCTTTCTCACTACGACCGCGCACAACCGCATTGAAGGCGAGGATTGAACCACGCTGTGGTGTGAAGGACGCGAGCGTGGATCGCCCAGCGGATGCCCAGATCCCTGGCGATGCTGCACGGGACGAGGGGAAGGAGGCGGCACTTGTTCCAGGGGAAGCTCGCCAGCGCCGCTTAACAGGGCCGCCCTCTTGCGGGAGATTGGAAGCCACCGCACATCCCGTGTGCTCACACAGCCTCTTGTCAGTACTTGGCGACAAGAGCGCCGCTCTCAACGCCTCCACCAGCGTGGAACTGAGGATTCACCGGGAGAGCACTGACCCTGCCTGCCGCAAAAGTTTCAGCAAAACGCAGGCAAAACGCTGCCACCAGTGATCAGTTGTGATGATGCACCAGCGAGCTATTACTTGTACAGCAGCGTCTGGAGCAGCGTCTGGAACAAATGGTGGAGCTCGAATCCAAACAGAGGACGAAGCGAAACTGAGAATCGCAAACACGCCTTCGAGCGGCATGCCGTGCGACGAGTGAGCACCCCCCACTCCGGTCGGACGACTGGGGCCGGAACGGTACCAAAGATGACATTGTGCTGCAGTCCGGGGAGTAGAGCACGTAGATGTAGAGCAGCATCCATTGTTGTGTAAAAACTTATAACTGATAGCATCTGAAAAGGAAAATCTTCATGGGAAGAGAGTCGAAACGCTTTTTTCTACGTATTCCGTATTAGGTCAAGCGGAGCTATGGCGGTGGTGTGGGTGAAGCGGGGTGACGAGGCGCTGCGCTTCCCACTCATAGGCTCCAAACTCATGGTAAGCTCCATCGCTCGTCACTGGGGCCTGGACCCGGACTCCCTCCGCATTGGCAACTGCGCTCTAGTCCCAGGTGCCGACGGCAACTCGGTGCTCTCCCTTGACGCCATTGCCGCGTTGCTCCAGGACCAGCCCGACCTGGGTGACGGTAGCAGCCACGAGCAAGCGCTCGTCATCACGGGCCGACGCCGCTCTGCTGATCACCCCGCCGTCCAGGATCACATCCGGCAGCGCGACGAGGAGAATCTCGTGGCCAAGAAGCAAAGAGCCGAGGTTGCGAGGTCGAGGCAGTTGGAGGCGTACCGGAGCAACGTCGAGGGCCTGTGGTCGTATGTCAAGGAGCTGGAGCTCACCGTCACGAAACCAGAGCAAGTTTGCAACGTGATGCAGTCCCGGGTCTCCAAGATGGTGGCTCGCTTGCACTTTGTGGAGGGTGACGACGAGCCGAGCGATGACAACTACAAGGGCCTGGCCGCCTTGGTGAAGCCCGATGGCTCTTGCTTCACCGCCGCCGTGTGCTGTAACCGTAGCTCCACCTCTGGCAAGTACGTGCTGGTGTTCTCGGATCCACCACTGGAGTACGAGTGCGTGGTGACTTACGAGGAAGAGGTCGAGATCGCCATCCTGACGCCGGCCAAACCTGTCAGCTTCAACTATTGCATCAACTGGAATGACTCGATTTGCAAGTCGGATCATGCCTACAGCTGGAAGCGCGACCCACAGTCCGGGGACGTCAAGTGCGTGGCGGGCATCTTCATCGAGGACCCAAGCCTTCCAATTTATCAGTTCGAGCCTTACCACATGGTGATGCTTCCGGTGGAGAGCACGGTGGAGGTGGGTGCTCCTGTCCTTGACGATGCAGGACATCTTGGCGGAGTGGTGGTGGAATTCGAGGAGATCCCGGCTCGTGATACTCGACCGACGAAGAAGAAGAAGAAGAATGGAGAGAGGAGGCTCGACGAGACTGCCATCCGCGACCAGTTCCAAAACCGAGTCAAGGAGGATCCCGACTTTGGGAAAGGTTTGGATGCTTGGCGATTGAAACTGTCTAACTGAAACTGTCTAACTGTAGCTCTCGAGGCTGGATTCGTGCACCGCAAGGCTGTCGTTTATGTCGCGTGTTTGGACATTGATGGTTTGACGACTGTTTGGTACGATTGGACGAAAGCTCATCCTCTAAAAGGTAAGAAGATCAGTGGATTGAACTCTCTAAGTTTTTCTTTTGTTTTCTTGACAGAGTTTGAGCCTTCAAGCTCCAACGAGCAAAACGTCATCCATTGGCGCAGGCACGCATAAGCGTATTTTTCTTTGTTTTTTCAAATTCTCCGTGGCAAACTTGTAGATTTCTTGAAAACTTGCGAGTCTGTGATGGCCTGCCGAGGGTGGATATCGAGAAGCGGCCCGTTGTGCAGCAAGAGCGAGGGAGTTTGCGGGAATTAGGATTAGGCCTTGGCTCTTTTCACAAGAGTCGCAATGGTTTCCCTTCGCACAGTTTTCACACCACTTTTTCTTTGCCTTTGGCTTTGTTGCCTCCTCGGGTGCCACTGCCGGTGCCACTGCCGCTTCCTTGGTCTCCACCTCCGCTGCCACCACCTCCACGCGGAAGCGCTTGCGGCAGCGGCACAGCTCTACCCCTACGGCCACCCCGTCCGCTGCCACCGGTGCCACCACCTCCGCGCGGCAGCGCTCGCGGCAGCGGCACGGCTCTACCTTTGCCTCCCCTATGGCCACCGCGTCCGCGGTCGCCGCCGCCACCACCTCCTCTTCCACCGCTGCCACCACCTCCTCCTCCATTGAACGCAAGGCGCTCGGGGATGAATTTACATAACATCCCAATGTTGTTGATATGAAACCCAATCAGCTGGAGCGTGGGCTTCATGAGGGGATCGATGGTGAAAATGACGCCTCCGCGATTGTCTCCACAATAAGAAGCTAGAAAGAAACTGTTAATGATAGGAACTATCAATGACAGCCCAAACTACTCTTACCTACACAAAACCCTCCTGGGAGTGTAGTTCCCACCGTGAGAACATCATGGAAAGCCGGGATCTTTTCAGTCTCCGCCTTCTTCGAGCCTCCTCCTCTGCATGCATCATACTCCCTGTCCACCCCCTCAACATAGCCCAGGAAATGGACACGAGACCCCAGGCGTAAGAGCTCCCCGCTACTCCGTAGAAAGGGTATCTCCAGCGGAAACTCCGTGTAGTTCTTCTCGATCTCGAGCATTGCTACCTCGCACGCACGGTCCACGTCGATGAAACTCGCCTCCCTTATCTCCCTTTGAGTGGGATAGTGAACCAGCCATTGCAAGCGACGGAGGTCGTAGCCTTCGAGCGGAGCAAGTGACACAACACCGTGAAGCGAGAGCGAGAAAGGAGAAACTTCCAACACCAAAACACGAATCTTTCACCTTGGTGCTACCATAACCACGGTAGCGATGGTTGTAACAGAAGAGAGCGAGCCATTCTGGATGAACAGCCGCCCTAGCGCTGCTCGAGCATCACGAAAATCGGCATCCGCCTCAAATCTTCCATAGCGCCTCGCTATCTCACCGCTCGAAGCCATTATGATTAGGGTTAACTCCAGCTAGATTTTCTCATCGCTGATCGCTTGGCTCGCGAGATTCCTCTCTGGGCTTTCTGCGATTCTTGGGTCGCATTTTCCTATGCCAGGTGGAGTGGCTGACTTGGAAATCATTCGTGATCATTCGCTACAGTTCGAGGCCTTGACATTGCGCGCTGTCGCCGACGTTTGTAGGTAACGTTTTTTCTTTGTTCTTGTATACAACTTCTTCTCGCAGGCATCAAAGGAGATGATTATCCAGAAATATTCTTGCTGCTATCAAGGCGTTTGGTCTCAGAGCGACTGTCCAGGTTGGTAGTTACAGCGCTTTTTCTTTCTCCTCGTCGAGCGTCTGGTTTTTTAGTTTTTTCTTCAGGTTGTAGACTTGCAAGTATTTGCCACCACACGCGTCGTTGGAGCCCGTTGTTGGCGCATTCTAGATCATAGTCTCTTTAATGGAAAAGGTTTGCTTTAGATTTTGGTTTGAGACTTCCCGGTGGCGACTTAATGCCTTGTGCGTTTGTCCAGGTTTTACATGGAACAACTTTCACCTTTGCACTGACTGACACAGCTCACCTGATCAAGGAATAAGAAATGTACTTGTGGCCCGGAAATTAACGTCATAGACTACTGGAAGACAGACAAAAGTCATACATATACTCCTCTCAGAGGGCTGTTGAAATGCAGGAAGTCAAGGTTGTCAAAGCGACGGGAAGGAGGACCTCGTGGGGAAGTCTGACCCATACGCGAGGCTGGTCATTCGTGAAGGACCGTTTGTCAAGAAGAAAACGACCATGAAAATGAACATCAGTCTCATGCTTCAAGTTGGGCTCCGCAACACTATCAAAACAGCATATAGACAAGCAGGTGGTATCCATTTCCCATTGCTTTCCACTCGCCCACTGGTGCTCCGCTACAAGGTACTGGAACTCCAGGATCTTCTTTATAGCCTGAAACGCGCGAACAAACCAGAGAAGGATAAAACACCAAATCAACGGGACACTACTTACCTTGGTTTCCTTTGCTAAATGCGAGCCTCACGTACGGTTTCTTGTGATGCTTGCTTTCCAAGTCTTCGACACCATGGACAGGCAAACCACGTCCTTCGGGAGCTTTTTCGACGCTGTGTGAGTCACGAGGCTTCAATTGTCTTCAAGCCAATTTAAGGTTGCTATTGTGCTTATAGATAGAACCTTGTCTTCTTCTTGTTCATTTTCACGGTCGTTTTCTTCTTGGCAAACACGGGCCAGCCTTGCATATGAGTCAGTCTTTTTCCCTGAGGCCAGTCGCCCTGACAGCCTTCACTTCCAGCATTCCAACAGGTGGCTGAAAGGCATTCATGAGTATACGAATGACTTCCAGGAGTTAAGTCTTACCTCGGATCGTCTAGGACGTTGGTTCCATTGTTCTGGGCCACAAGTAATCCTTGATCAGGTCCTGCGAAGTCAGCTTTGTCAGTACAAAGATCCATAAGCCATGGAATTGCCATTAAGTCGCCACCGAGAAGTTTCAAACCAAAATCCACATGAATGGGAGAAAAGAAAAAGAAACAAACCTTTTCCATTAGAGACACCATGATCTTGCATAAGCATGGGTCCGCGTGGAAGCCCATTTAAGTTCGTTGAAATGCTTGTAGTAGAACCACGTACCTCGTAAGACATTCTGGATCCAGAACATGAAAGGTTTCGTTCCATTCTGGATTGGCAAACGGTCCTTCACCGAGGACCAGCCTCAAGTATGGGCAGACTTCCCCATGAGCTCTTTCTTCTTGAGGCCTGTCGCCCTGACAAGAGTCCGTAAAAAGGTAAAGATCCTTTGTTGCAAACCTGGACAAACGCAAAAGCTACGCAGGAGTGTCATGTCAAAATGTAACGCGTGCGGTGACGAATGCTTGCAATGCAAGTCGTAAAGAAAGAACGAAAGCTCAAGAGAGAGAGAGAAAAAGGCGAAACTACTAACCTGGACAGTCGCTTTGACGCCAAACGCCTTGACTGCAACAAGAATGGATGGTGGGATCCATGTCAAGAGACTTGAGATTTTTTCCAAGTTCATCCCTGCTCGTGATGCACTTATAGTTTGTGCGCAGATCATGGCAAGGAATGCAGAAGCTGGACACAGCGGCAGCCAGGGAGGAGGCGGAAGAGCTGGCGGCAGTGGTGGAAGAGCTGGCAGCAGCGACAGTCCCAGCGCCAAAGCGACAAACTCAAAGGCAAAGCTATCAAAGACGACTTTTCAAAATGGCCAAAAGACAAAGCTAGAAACTTAGCAAAGGAGTGGGATTGTCTCGGAGTCCACACGAATCATCGCTGCTTGTGCCTGTATAATCACATTTGGTAAGCAAACCACTCGTGAGAGTGTCCACCTGCTTTGCCCAGTTTGTGGAGAGGGCTATTACAGACAGAACTGCAGCTTGCGTTGACACTCCCGAGAGAACTCCAATCAAAAGTCCCTGTGTAATGCAACAGGCATCAGTCCCAAGGCCAAAGATTGAGTTACCTTCCCACCGAGACCAACGACAAATGCTAGGATACATCCTACAGGCAAACCAACAACGTAAAAGGCTCCCAAGTTTGCAATTGTTGCAAGCATCTGCCAACCACACCCTCTAGCAGAACCTTGCAAAACAATTGTTTAGCTAGAAACATAAAACAAAACAAAAAAAAAGTTCGAGTTACCCGATACAACTCCGGCAAATGCATCCATGACGGTCATTGCAGCAAGAATTGGAATCATTCGCGAAACATGGCCGACCACTTCTGCCTCATTGCTGAAAGCCCGGCCAAGAACGTCACGGAGGCAAAACAAGAGGGTTGACACAAACACTGCGTCAATGGCAGCCAGGCCGAAAGAAACGCCCTGCGAGAGCCGAGCTTCAAATGGATGCCCGGCACCGAGCTCGTTGGAAATGCGAGTACTGCAGAGATCGAAAGTTTGCCAAAGAGAGTAACTGAGCAAATCGCTGAATACCTTGCTGCTGCACTGATACCATAAGGAACCATGTAGCAGAAGTTGATGATGTTTAGCCTGGAAAAGAAAAGTGAGCTAACAGGAAGGAAAAGTTTTTTACTGACATGATGGAGAACACAGACGTCTCAAGCTTGGGATTGGGAAGAACGCCTGAGAGCAAAACGAGGGACTCAAACGACCACCACTCCAAGCTGGGAACAATGCAGAGTTAAACGAATAAAAGAAACAAGAAAATACTTACCAGAACATGAGCGTAGAAGGCACTGCCAACTTCAAAAATTCGAAAACATGCTCGAAAACCTCCATGGATAACTCTGGCAAACACTTGCGACACCGGGGAGTGAGCAGCGCCACTCCGGCGAGGAAGAAGACGTTGATCCAGTTGGAAACACTCGTCGCCAGTGCTGCTCCAGCGTTTCCCATACCAACCTTGTATATGAACACCCAGCAGATCGAAACGTGGACCACCAAAGTCACCGACGAGCACAAGAACATCGGAAGCACGAAGCTCTGCGCTTGGAGAAACTTGATGAGTGGCTGGAGGAAGCCAAATGCGAAGAGCCCCGGGACGAGCCATCGCGCGTAGATTCCAGCGCTGGACGATATGTCTGGAGCCTGATGGAGGACGAGGAGGAAACGTTCCATGTTGAGCCATAGCACTGCCACTGGAATCGCGACGGCGAGAAGAACCAGCACTGCTCGATACAAGTAGAGGCCGACCTTGTGGTATTGCTTGGCTCCAAACGCCTGGCCGCACAGGGTCTCAAGGCCGGTGGCAAGGCCTTGCTACAAAGAGACCACGATCCGGATGCTTCACTGCTCAATTCTGCCTCGAAATCTTGCGTCAGGGACTCACCAAGAGACTGTAGCCGGTGACCGTGCACAGCGATGTCGCGATGGAGGCGCTCGAGAGCTGGAGCTCGCCGAGATGGCCGACGAGCATCACGGACGTGATCTGGATGGCGAACTGCATGAGATTAACACCCATCATCGGCAGCGCAAGCCGCATTTGCTGCAGCGCCTCGAGGCGCCATCGCCTCAGATCCACCATTCCTCAAGAATCCTAATTCCCGGGTCAATAAATTGATTCGATGCCGCATATTCCAATATAAAATAAAACTGTAAGGAAAGCGCTTGTAGCTCAGTCGATAGAGCGTCTGTTTCCGGAGCAGAATGTCACAGGTTCGACCCCTGTCTAGCGCAATTGTTAATTTGTGTCCTTGAGAAGGTACAGTTCCATTCGTCTCCCAGAATAACACACGAAACCTAAACTTGAAGCGAGGATCAATGACCACTCGCGAGTGGAAGTCATAAGTAAAGCGATTTACATTGGAGTCCACCAATGTGAAAGGTGGACTTTTCCTACTTTGTCACTTCCAGGAAACAGTGCGCAAGTTTGCTTTTGCACTATGAAAACCTGGGATAAATCACAAACACGCAACGAAACGTATCATCAGCTGATCGGCTCCAGAAACGGCAGATTGTGTGAAGAGCAAGCCGAGACGACACGGCGGAGACTGTACGTGGCAGGGAGCTCGTTCTGCCAAAAATGAAAGAACAAAAAAAAAAAAGAAGACAAGGAAACATAAAAGCGACCTGCCGTTTCGATCGGGCCAAGAAATATTAAAACAAATCTGTTGGTAAGTGTCTAAAGTTTGGAGCTTTACTTTGCTTTGATATTGGAACTCCAACCCAATGTCCCTTGAGTTTGTAGTGGATTTCTCCATGATCACTGTTGTTTTGGCGGATGCCATTGGGAAAATCATGTCTTTTTGTTGCTGTAGGAGCTTTAGCTCGTAGGCTTTTTGGCCGAGATCGATCAATCGATGGACCAAATCGTGACAATGGTTTTTGGAGTGATGTTTCGTGGAATCACGTGCAAGACAAGGAAGCATCCACCCAAATCGACCCCACGGACCCTGGCACGTTTCGATAAACAGGAAATTTCGCTGGAAATGGTGGCCTTGCGAAACAAAAGCTAGCAGATGGTAAAAGGTCTCGCATTGAGCCCACACACACGACCTTTGAAATTTCCTCCTCTACCAGAGCATATTCTTCTACGTCGCGTGAGCAAAGCAAGCATATGCTCCCGGGCCGAGGAAGGTTCTGTGGAAGCATCCCGAGCTTCGCGGCAGCTTCTGGCAGCGCTTCTGAGAGAGTGTGCGTGGCGAATATGCCCGGCATCGGCCCCGGGATGAGGACACGTCACGCGATGATGGCCGTGGAGAGGAAAAAGAAGAGGTCATTGCCCAGGCTTTGAGTCCACTTGCTTTGCATCTTCCCCTTCCTTCTTCCATTTTCTTCTCTTCTCTTTGTGCGATCGATCCGTCGCGTGGAAGGAAGGACCAGAGTGAAATTGGAGAAATCGGCAGCGAATGTGTCAACGCGAAGATAGAATTTGATAGTGGGGCTTGACTGCTAGCTGCAAGAGGAAAAGGAGATCCACTCCATGGACGAGGAAGAGCTAGTTCCTTTTGGAAGCCCGTCGCTCTGTTTCTACTCGGAGGAGGTAGCGATCGATTGCGAGGATCAGGACGAGAAGACGCTCCTGGAAGTGGACAGCTTCGTGTCATCGTCTCTGGTGCTGGGCGAGGCCGATCAGGCCGAGGATTCGCACATCCAGCCATCGCCCACATCCCAGCTCACGGATTCCCCCATTGGGTCGGCCAGATCGGGCGGGATCTCCAGCAATTCGGGCAGGAAGAGCATCCGGATCGCGCAGAAGCTCCGCGATCGTGTCGGCTCGGATCGATTCCGCGAGGCGATTGGGGGCGTCTTTAGCCAGGAGGCCGCCAGCGGCAACAAGAGCGCTCTTCGGCTGATGACACACATTTCTTCCTCCTCGCCTTCCTCTTCTCCATCCTCGGCGGTCCTCTCCCCGGATTCTTCCAGCGATTCCACCAATATCCTCCCCGGGAAGAAGAAGCGGCCTGCGCTCCTCCCGCTCGATCTCTCCTTCGCCGCTGCCTCCAATCCCAGCAGCAGCATCCACAGCCCCTGGGGGATCTCCAAGAGAGTGTGTAGCACGCCGCCCCCTTCTACTTCCTCTTGCTCCTCCACCTCGGCCCCCATCGCCGCGGCCATGGCGATGGCTTCCAGCCCAGTGCTCGGCGGCCTCTCGGATTTCAACGAGAACGACTCCGAGGACATGATTCTCTACGGGCTGCTCAAGGAGGCCGCGCGGACTGGATGGCAGCCGCTCACGCCCAAGCAAAGGAAAGAGCCCGAGATCGCCGACGCCGTCAAGCCCGAGATCGTGACGCCCATGCCGCCGGCAGTAGCGGTAGTACACCGCGCGGCACAGCTACCACAGTGCGTTGCCAACCGCGCGGTACCCACGGTACACTACGCGGCACAGCCGGCACATTGCGCGATACCGCTGCTGACACAGTCCGAGACGCGCGGTACTGCGGCAATGCCGGCGGCTTCTTTCAAAAGGCAGCACTACCGCGGGGTGAGGCAGAGGCCGTGGGGAAAGTTTGCGGCGGAGATTAGAGACTCGATGCGGCAGGGCGCGCGGATCTGGCTGGGGACGTTTGATACCGCCGAGCAGGCTGCTCGGGCCTACGATCGAGCGGCGTTTAAGATGAGGGGCGCGCGAGCTCTTCTCAATTTTCCACTCCAGCCGCAGCAGCAGCACCACCAAATTCACCAAAGTGTCCAAAGTCAAAACCAGCAAGAGCCCGAGAACAAGAGACCGAGATCGAATTGATGACATACCATTTTTCTTCTAGCGTTTTGATTGACGTCGTCTGATCCGTAGTCAGAGAGAGAGAGAGGAAGCGGCCAAAGATCGTGATTGACAGAGATTGCGCTTTTGACTCCTATTTTCTCAGTCTCACTCGTCCCTGTGAGGAAGAATCCAGCTATAATGGCGAGGAAAAAGAGAAGCGAGTACGCTACCTTGCAGCAGGATTGTCCGCAAGATTGTTCTTGTGTTTATGGACGATCGCTTTGTCATGCTGCGTTCTATGTGGATATTGGGTGTAAAGTAGTAAAGCCTGGAAACAGAGAGAACGTAAAAATTCGTAAGAGTTTTTTATTTTCTCGACTCTGATTGACTTGCCTTGATGTAGTTTTTCGCGTCTAGCGTGAACCTGTGAGACATACCCGCGGGAAGAACGATCATATCCCCTTTGCCAACAGCAAACCGGATCCATTTGCCATCAAAGTCTCGAATATCCCAATAACCTGAAGAAGCAGACAAAATAGGTAGAATTTGAATCTAGAAGGAAAAGAAATTGAGAAAACTGTACCACTCCCATCCAAGATGAACCTCACTTCCTCCTGCGAATGCGTGTGTTCCTTGAAGAAGCCTTGGACTTTAGCATCGAAATCTTGCGTACTTTCACGACAGAGAGTGAGCACCTCCTGGACCACAAGCAAGTTTCCCTGTCAACTTTAAACACACCCTTCCAAGCTCACTCACCGAGTAGAGATAGCCGCGTTCACTTCGAATCTGTTCCAGCAGAGAAGTGGCTTCAAGGTCGAGCTTCCAAGTCAAGACGCCAAGCTCTGCAAGTGCATTTGGAGCTACACGTTAAGCAAAAAACAGTCTAGCTAGATAGAGAGCAGAACAAGCGGGTACCATGGAGGTGCGCGAGTGGGACTGGGCAATTTGGAACGCGTCTGTGTGGAAGCCTCGGATCATCCCCCTCGTCTAGCATGCTCGGACTGTACTCCCATGCTTCCACTCCTGTCTGCCAAGCATGCAAAAGGCAGGCAGCCAACGATCAGTCTCGGCTAAGGAGAATCAAGCTATACTAACTCTACTAAGAAGGAATCATCTTGCGTCATCTCCCACATACCTCGGAGTGAACACTTGCTGCTGCCATGGACTGAGGTTGAGTGAAGGAGAAGTAGAGAGCTGGACGTCTTTTATACCGGGAACTCGCGTGGCATTCAGGCATAGTGTGCATGAATTTCGAATCCATACATGAACGATGGTGTCAAGGTACCACCTCGCAGAAGGGATGACACCGGAGGACCCTCTTGGTCTACAAGTGGCAGGGTTTGTTAGTGCAACTTGAAGATAGAAACTCTTCTTCAAGTTGCACTAACAAACCCTTGAAAGCAGCGGTGTTGCTACATTAGCTGAAATAGCTCAAAAGTAAGAAAAACTGTTTCAAAGTGATGGAGAATGATCAAAGCTTTTCCTATGATACCTCTACCAACAGCCGGGATCTTTAATGAAGTCAAACTCCGTAGTGTGCAGCGAGTGAGGCGGCGGCTTCAATCCGCTGGACTTCCATCTTCGCAGCATCGCATCTTCGAACCTCCGGACCTAAGGTAGCAAAGCCATAATTTGCCTAAACTCACGACGAATGTATGACTCACTCTGGTCACGATGAAAGGCTCGCCTTTGAGCGTGAGAGGCTCTGTAGAAATCGTGAGCAGTCCATTCTTGTTGCCATACACGACGTCGGTAAGGTGGCGATCTCCTACCTGTGACAGAGAAAGCTAAGGACAAGAAATGGATAACAGACAAGAGTACCTACCATAACGAGAAGTGACGCATCGCATCCAAATCTCTTCTTGAGAGCATCAGCATTTCCAGCCGGTTTCTTAGAGCCTACATTGGGAAAATAACGTTAGGAAGTGAACCAAGAAAACTCGTTTTGTTTTCCAAACGCTCACCGTGCCTGATCACGGAAATTCCAAGTGACTTCTCTAGTGCGTCAGCCTCAACTCCCGCGGGATCAAACTGGTACAGTCCTGCTCTGCAAGAAGTTTTTTAACAAAACTAAATCAGATTTAAGAAAACAAAACTCTTTGCTCGACACTTAACCTGCGCTGTTGCTGAGAAGTGCCACATTCTCCCCAAAGCACTTCCGACATTCTTCCAAGGACTCGCCCAGCGTCGGCCACACGGTCGCCACATACGGGGCCGTGAGCGTATTATCCTTGTCAAACACCACACCGGCAAATCCCCGCTCCTTGAGCGCCCTCCAGTCAATCCAGCTGATATCCGGCACATGAACATGCGGCAGCATTAAGCTCCGGTCGCGCAGCAGCACGCGGGCAGCCGATCCAATCCCCGCCGCATTAAACCTCTGCCCGAGCTTCGCGATCATCGAGTGGCGCGGCGCAGAGAGATCGGCGTTACAGCAGCACACAGACCTGGAGATCACAGCCGGCGCGCCCGCCCCGCCCAAGCTCATCTCATCTCGCCCTAAAACGAGAGAGCGCCAAACCCTACAAAAGGTTTTTAAAAAAGTGAACTCATTTAATCCAGCGGTTGCGATTGGGTGGTCCAGATGGACGGCGGCGATGTGGCCGGGAAGGGGGAACGAAAATCCCCGTCCCCGGGCAGTGGAAGTGGCCGTTTTGTTTTTTTAGGTCTTTTTTTTGCGCCCATCTATCTTGCCAATTGGGAGGCTGGGGACGGAAGGATGGGTTCTTTCGAGCCCGCCCAGAAGAAGGCGCGCTCGGATGTGGATCTTTCCTCGCTCTCCTTCCAAATTCACCATCAATCCCCGCCGCAGCCATCGTCGATCGCGCAGCAGCAGCAAACTTCGCCGATCGCGCAGACCGTCCAGCAACAGCAGCAGCAACAACAATGCCAGCAGCAAAACGGGGATTTCGAGTGCCGGCGATACACAACGCCAGAGGGATGCCCCTATGGCAGCAAATGCCGATTCAAGCACGGGCCACTTGGTTGGAATTTCTCTCCATTCTCTCCTCCCTTGTCTAATTCTCTCTAATTTCTTCCATCTCTTTGAGTTTTTTCTCTACAGTGCTTTTGTCCAACAGTTTCTCCTCCAATTCTCTTCTCTTCCATTTTCCTTTGTTTTTCCAAGTGAAACTCCCCTGTTCTTCCTGTGATTCTTGTCACAAACGGAGGCTCTTGGCATTCCCTAAAACTCTGTGTACGGAAATGCAGATGACCGGGATTTGACGCAGCAGACCTCAGCACTGGGGAGCAAGACGAAACCATGTACGAAATTCTTCAGGTCAATTCACCCTAGAGCTAAGATCTCCTGATCTCCTCCAATCCACCACCTTTTTTTTTTCCTTTTGCTCTTCGCGATTTCTTCCTTTTGCTAAGCACCACCCTTGCAGAAAGAACAAAACCAACGTGAATCCAACGCATTTCTTCCTCCATTTGTGCAGTACCTCTGGATGCCCGTACGGCGAAGGGTGCCACTTCCTCCACTACGTCCCCGGCGGCATCAACTCCCTCCAGGTCCAGGCAGCCAACGGCACCGCGGCGCTCTCCTCCGCCGCCCCGGGCGGCGCGCCAGGAACAGCCGGATCGACCGCCGCCAGCCCAGCATCCACCACGCCTGGCGGCGGAGTAGCGGCGGTAACAGCGGCGGCGGCGGTGGTCGCCGACCCCTCCCAGACCGTCAATGGCTACAAGACCCGCCTGTGCAACCGCTACAACACGCCAGAGGGCTGCCGGTTTGGCGAGAAGTGCCACTTTGCGCATGGCGAGGCCGACCTCCGCCCCTCCAACCCCCGCCCCTCGCCCGCCACTGTCATCCACCTCCAGAACGGTGCCACCGCCGGAATAGGCGGCGCTGCCGCGCTCATCAACGGCACCACCGTCTTCTCCAGCAACCCGGTGGCCACCTCGGTGTACTACGGCGAGCCGACGCCACCCGGCGTCCCCGCCGCCACCACCTTTGGCAGCATCTCGGTCACCCGGATGAGCATCGAGGCGGCATACGCGGGGGCCATCATCGGCAAGGCCGGCGCCAACGTGAAGCAGATCAGCAAGGTGACGGGCTGCAAGGTGTCCATCCGCGACCACGAGACCGACCCCAACATGAGGAACGTCGAGATGGAGGGGTCGCTGGAGCAGATCGAGAGCGCGAGCGAGATGGTGCGGCAGCTGCTCCAGACGAGAGAGGTGGCGCCGCCGCGGGGGCCAGCGCTGGGGTCGCACAACTTCAAGACCAAGCTGTGCGAGAACTACTCGTCCGGGACGTGCACGTTTGCAGAGCGGTGTCACTTTGCGCACGGCACGCAGGAGCTCCGGCCTATCATCAGATGATCGTCAGTTCCTGGGGTGAAATCACTCGACTGCTACTGCTACCACCACGACTCGCAGCAGCGATTTTTCATCCAGACAACAACAACACAAAACACACAGGTACATACATATACATTACTTATACTATACAGTTCGAACAGGAGAACAACGAATCCAACACATACACACCACACAAACGCACAGACAGCCATGATCGATATGGTTTTACTGAACAGCACAAACAACACAAGAAAGAAAGAAACACACACACAAACACATACACGCACAGAGGGATCATACACACACAACTGACTGAAAGATTTTTTGGAACGTGTAAACATATATAAAACACCCAGTCTTCTAATGAACCGATTACTTACACTTTTGACTACCTCGAATTGAAGAGCTTCTGGCCGTCGGATCGGATAGAGAGGGATGAGGGGAGCGGAGCTCGCGTTACTCGGTCCATTGCGCCTGTCAGGTAAGCTGTGCTTCAATACAACTAGAAAGAAGCGAAGAACTTGGAAAGTCAGACCTGTTCGTGGCCTCTGGAACTTCTTCGGAGGTAGAGAAGAGGCCACGGATTCTATCTCATTTTCGAAACAGTCTGGCTACCACGAATTGGAGCTCCCTTCGTTTCTGCCACTGCTCGTCCAAGACACCTTCCTTGCAGGTCTGTTGCATTCGAACTTGACGTTGAAACATACTCTCTTGTGTAGATAAAGAGCTCAAGTGCTGCTACAAGGCATCTCTGGACGGCTTCAGTGCGTACAAGTTCCACGGCTGCACTGACTTCAAAGGTCCCTGCGTCGTTCTAGGCCTCACTCGAGGCGGACTTCGTTTCGGTGGATTTAATCCTCTCGGATTCCGAAGCACTGATGACTACTACGACACCTTCAAAGCCTTCCTGTTCTACTGCCCTCAAGGAGATTCACCACCTGTTATTCTTCCCAAAATCGGAGGCTCGGGAGCTGCAATATTCGACTATGCTCGAGGAGGGCCGCAGTTTGGAGCTGATGGACTTTTGATCGGGCCTCCACTAGTTCCTGTTATGGGTGGCCTTTCTGGACCTGATCCAAACAAAGGTGAAGGCGATCTCAGCCAAGCAAAGTCGAGACTAGGACTTTCGTATGCATGCAGACCTGATGGAAAGGATTCGATTTTCGGTGACGATAAGAAGGCCACGGTTGTCGAAATAGAAGTTTTCACTTGTCCAGCAATACGTGATATGTACTAGGTAGACTATACTGCAAAGCGAGGAGTTACAAAGGGATTTTAAAGAAAAAACTTACCGAAACGCATTTCAACGTAGTAAGGGAGACAGGCTCTTTGATCAAACGTTACCATGTGTATAAATGTCTCAATGTACAAAGGTTCTCAACTCTATAATTCTGAGTGCTGCTATCAGGGAAATATCCCACTGACTTTGTAGCATGTCGCTATCCTCTCAATAGCTATCAAATATGCTGCTGTGCGAAAGTTGCAGCCCTGCAACAAAATATTGAATCAGAGAAACAAACTCATGAAAAATAAACAAGTCACCTTTTTAGCAGCGACCGCCTTAACTTTGTCCCATGCAACCAGCATGGTCTCTTCAAGTCCGGACCACACGAAATCCACCTCTGTATTTCTGGAAAGTTCGCAGAAAAGCTATCAGAAAAAATGCTGCAAAGTTGAACCCTGGCAGAAGCTAACCCTTTAACAAGTTCGCGACGAAGCTCGTCAGATAATCTGTTTCCATTTCCAAACTCCAGTTCGAGAGCCTCAAGAAAAACCTTCATGGTGAGAAACAAGTTAGTTCAAGGTATCAGATAATACAGCCCACCCGTTTTCCACGCTCTTCCATTCTACGACTCATGCGCCCAAAGTGAATGTGATTCAAATTCTTTAGCCATTCAAAATATGACACAGTCACTCCACCCTGAAAAGGCACCATCACTAAACTTGCGTGAGCGATAAACAAAGAAGCCACACAATATACCGCATTCAGAAGCAAATCTGGTAAAATAACAACTCCTCTTTTCTCTAGGATCGCTTCGGCAGCAGGAGTTACCGGGCCATTAGCAGCCTCTGCTATAATGCGGGCCTGTTCACAAAAGGTTTAAAAGTTCTCGAAGCATTGCTTTCGTTTTTGTACCTGTATAAAAGAGGCGTTGCCAGAATGTATTTGTGACTCCAACGCAGCTGGAATCAAAACATCACACGGCAGCTCTAATATTTTTGAAGAGTCTTCAACCTGTGCGACCAGGATTAGAACGTAAGAACAAAGAATATGAATCGACTTACAGTGGAACCCTTGGGAAATCCTGTTATTGTTCCCTTCCGCTTAAAGTAATCCTTGACCTCTTTGATGTTCAAGCCCTTTCCTGTCTCATCAACAACCCCACCATCCTTCTCTGCGATGGCTATGATTCTTCCGCCAGCATCTTCAATGCACTGAAAAACAGTAGTTTGAAATTGCTTCCCCCCGTAATCTGGTCATCTTACATCAATGGTGTGTTGGCCGACGTTTCCAAAGCCTTGCACGATGATAGTTTTCCCTTCAATACCAGGTTTCATTTGCAGCTTGGATATCAGACCCTGCATAAAAAGAAATGAGTCGTAAATTCGATTTTGAAACAAACGCAAAACAACCTCGTCATCTAAAAACTCTCTCAAACAGAAAAACACTCCTAAGCCTGTAGCTTCTTGCCTCCCATGAATACCTCCCTGTTAAATGGTAAGCAGAATGAGCAACTAGAGTGCACTATAGTACCTCTTCAAGTGGCTTTCCAGTTACGCAAGCTGTTCCATTTATGTCAGTTGACTGGAGATGCTCGTAAGTGTCCTGAAAAAATCCTTTTTGACAAAATCACAGCATAATAATCAACAAATACCTTGATCCAGGCCATTTCTTGGGATCCTGTTCCATAATCAGGGGCAGGAACGTCCTGAGAAGGCGAGTAATGCCACGTTTTGATCTTTGATGAGCAGAAGGAAATCCACTTACAATCGCAGGACCAATGAAGTTCTTCTTTACAAGCTCACTGGTGTATCGCCTTATGATCGCTTCCTTTTCCCCGGTGGAATACTTCGCAGGATCTGAAGGAAAGCATTGAAACTTTCAAGTTACCTGTGGCAACATGATACTACTCAGAAAGAAATAATTCTGCATTACAAGGATCATTCCCACCTATTTTGATTCCTCCTTTCGCCCCTCCAAATGGGATGTCCACGAGAGCGCACTTGAAAGTCATCAACGCAGCCAACGCCATTGTTTCTTCGGCATCAACATTTGGAGCCATTCGTATGCCACCCTTGACTAGATAGAAAAAAAAGTTAGAGAGTATGACTTCATCAAGAAGAACTAATAATAGGCCATACCTGGCATTCGATGGTGAGAATGTTGAGCTCTATAAGCCTCGATAAGCTCCACTGTTCCATCGGAACACTTGAGAGGAAATTGGACCTTTAAGATATTGTTACATCCCTGCAAAGAAAGTTTGTTGTCTTGAGAAATCCACTAAAAGTAGTAGGTCACCTTTATCTGAGCCAATATATCTGGAGTTGGAGACGCTAGTGCCGCAGCTTTATCGTAGTAAATATCCACAGCCTCCAAGAACGCCGCATCACCTGCGAGAAATCGATAGCACAGGGATGATCGAAAATCTTGCTAGAGAATCACTATACCAGTGACAAGAGAGGATAGATTCCGGGGTAGAGCCAAGACAGCAGGAATGCATCTCTTAGAAAGAATTGAACTGCGCCGGAGCAACATTTCCATCTGTGATCGACAAGAGAGAATCAAAGAAAGTGCTAGCGGAGGAGTTTTAAAGAGGGAAGAGGATGATCGAACCTAGTCGCATTGCCAAAGACAGGGAATCACCACGCAATCCGCGAGTGAGCTGTGGAATCCCGACGCTTGCCCAGGCAATGCCCGCCCGGGCGCAACACATTGCTCTCTTTCCCTGTCATACAAGAATCGCGCCCTAGCGCGAATCCAAATCTGCGGTCCACACCACCGAATCAAGGGCTGAAATTTCACCAGCCGCTGCGACATCCAACGGCTCACACTCATAGCGTGAAAATGTGACATCGATTTTGAGCGCCAAGGTTCAAATTAAATGTTTCCTAAAGGCCACAGAGTTAAGGCTGTTAACCTTGTGGTCGGGGGTTCGAATCCCCCGGGCGGCGTGACGCCAGTCGAAGTCAAGACTTTTCTGGTCAAGTCTAGTCTGGCCGGCGTTGACTGGGGCCCATTGGAGGGAGTGTGCTCGTCGCTATCATTTTGGCCACCCCAATACATAGTTACGTTGTTTGGTGTGTTGCGGGGATTCGTCTAAGATTGCGCTGTGAATGTGCCACTGCCACAGCTTTGTCTAGAGAAAGTGGCAAACTTCTTTGGACGCTCCTTTAGTGTTGTTTGACCTTCCAAAGGCGTTGGATTGGTTTGGTGCTATAGTGACAGGGCCATCAACTAGTAAAGGTCAGTGAAAGTACCCCCCACTTTTGTTGGCTTGGAATTATAGGCTTTACGCTAATCTTTCTATAATCCCTCCACTTATAGTCGTTTTTATAATCCCTCCATCGATTTAAGCACGCGCTTTGAAAGTCTTGCAAGTTTATCGATGAAAATGTGTAAACAATGGAAGGATCCAACTGTGTTGTTCCATCAATCTCGTAAACCGGCCTAACTTGGCTGTCTGGCACGATAAAGCTTGTTTAATCTGGTCAAAAGAGATGGCTAAATAGTTCTCCTTTGTTTCCATTATCTTCTCCAGCGCTTGTTTCGTGGCAACTTCTTTAGCTTTTCCTTCTAGTGTTTGTAGATCACGTTAAGAATCATGGATGGATGGCTTCTAGAGAAAATGGAGGCTTCCACCAAATAAAAATGTGATCCACTAAGTTATATCGTAGAACCCAACACACACACGGCACTAGCCAGCTACCAATGCTTTGTGAAAAGTAATAAACTGGATTCCTTTTTACCTTTTACCGGGAGGGGGTGAGAAAAGTCCCCCCTTCTCTTGGTTTGAGACGGGTCCTGTCCAAAGAAGAGGGCAAAATATCACTAGCAATCGCTACCCGGATTCTTAGGGTTCTTCCCAGCAAGCAATGGAATCATCAGCGATCGGGCGCTAGCTCCAGCTAGCACGAGGAGCATCGCGCAGGTACTTGTCTGGTTGACACTCTGTTCTTGCGAGAATGGGGGGATTTCCGGGCGAGAAATCTCCGGTATTTGGCCGATTCCAGCTGCTGCTGCTCGCGCTCGCTGCCGTGAGCTACATTTCCACTCCCGCTGCATTTGCTCAGGAGGTCGCCATTCTCATCCGGTTCAAGCAAAATCTCGAGAAGCAGGCGCAGGGAGAGCTCCCGGATTTGTTCCAGAGCTGGAAGAGCACGGATTCGAGCCCATGCAAGTGGGAGGGGATCAGCTGCGACTCAAAATCCGGGCTCGTCACTGGGATCAACCTGGCGGATTTGCAAATCGACGCGGGAGAAGGGGTTCCACCGGTGGTTTGCGAGCTCCCGAGCTTAGAGTCGCTCAACCTTGGAAACAATGAGATTGGCGGCGGCTTTCCACAGCACCTCTTCCAGTGCTCCAGCTTGAAGTCACTCAACCTCAGCATGAATCTCTTCGTGGGGCTTCTTCCAAACAACATCTCGGCGCTCACCAAGCTCGAGAACCTGGACCTCTGCGGGAACAACTTCACCGGAGAGATTCCGCCAGGATTTGGAAGGCTGCCCAGTCTCCTGGAGCTCAATCTCACCAACAATCTGCTCAACGGGACCGTGCCAGGATTTCTCGGTCAGCTCTCCAACTTGCAGAGGTTGGATCTCGCTTACAACCCCATGGCCGAGGGTCCTATTCCCGAGGAGCTGGGAAGATTGACGAAGCTCAGGAACCTCATCCTCACCAAGATCAACTTGGTCGGAAAAATCCCGGAATCACTTGGGAATCTCGTGGAGCTGGAGGAGATACTGGACTTATCGTGGAATGGCTTGAGTGGCAGCTTACCGGCGTCGCTGTTCAATCTCCACAAGCTCAAGTTGCTCGAGCTTTACGACAACCAGCTCGAGGGGGAGATTCCAGCCAACATCTTCAACTTGACATCCATCACCGACATCGACATATCGAACAACAGGCTTACCGGGAGCATTCCTTCGGGCATCACGCAGCTAAAGAGCTTGAGGCTGCTGCATCTCTGGCAGAACGAGCTCACGGGTTTCATCCCCGAGGGGATCCAAGACTTGGAGGACTTTTTCGAGCTCAGGCTGTTCAAGAACAACTTGACCGGCCGGATACCGCAGAAGCTCGGCTCAAATGGAAAGTTGGAGGTGTTCGACGTCTCCAACAACATGCTCGAAGGTCCGATTCCACCCGAGTTGTGCAAGTCCAAACGCTTGGTCGAACTTATTCTCTTCAACAACGGCATCACAGGCGGGATACCGGACTCCTATGGCTCCTGCCCGAGTGTAGAGCGTATCCTGATGAACAACAACAAGCTCAACGGTAGCATACCACCCGGTATATGGAACACGGAGCACGCCTACATCGTGGACTTGTCCGAGAACGAGCTCTCCGGTTCCATCTCCTCGGAAATCTCCAAGGCTTCCAATCTCACCACACTCAACCTCTATGGAAACAAGCTATCGGGTCCTCTGCCACCAGAGCTCGGCTACATTCCTGACCTCACAAGACTGCAGCTCTACGGCAACATGTTCGAGGGAGAGCTTCCTTCTCAGCTTGGCCAGCTTTCCAGACTTAACGTCCTGTTCGTCCACGACAACAAGCTGGAAGGCCAGATTCCCAAGGCGCTGGGAATGTGCAAGGACCTTGCGCAACTTAACTTGGCTGGTAACCAACTCACAGGAAGCATTCCAGAGTCGCTGGGTGATATCAGCGGGCTCACCTTGCTCGACCTCTCGAGAAACATGCTTACTGGAGACATACCACTGTCCATCGGTGAGATCAAGTTCTCCAGCTTCAACGTCTCGTACAACAGACTCTCTGGACGAGTTCCCGATGGCCTGGCAAACGGTGCGTTCGACTCGAGCTTCATTGGCAACCCCGAGCTGTGTGCCAGCAGCGGTAGCAGCTTGCTGTCCCTGAGCTCGTGTGGAAGAAACGGAGGAGAGAGCTCGGGTTCAAGACATGGACGTGTGGGTCTACTGGGATACGTGATCGGTGGAACGTTTGCAGCAGCAGCTCTCCTCTTCATCGTCGGCTCTTGGCTGTTCGTCCGGAAGTACAGGCAGATGAAGTCGGGTGATAGCAGTAGAAGCTGGAGCATGACCTCGTTCCACAAGCTCCCGTTCAACCACGTGGGAGTGATCGAGAGCCTGGACGAAGACAACGTCCTGGGAAGCGGTGGAGCTGGCAAAGTTTACTTGGGCAAGCTGAGCAACGGACAGGCGGTGGCAGTGAAAAAGCTGTGGAGCGCGGCCAAGAAAGGTGACGACTCCGCGTCCCAGAAGTACGAACGGAGCTTCCAGGCGGAGGTGGAGACGCTGGGCAAGCTCCGGCACAAGAATATCGTCAAGCTCCTCTTTTGCTACACCTGCGACGACGATAAGTTCCTCGTCTACGACTACATGGAGAACGGCAGCCTCGGCGACATGCTCCACAGCAAGAAAGCCGGGCGGGCTCTCGACTGGCCGGCGAGGCACAGGATCGCGCTGGGAGCTGCCGAGGGGCTGGCTTACCTCCACCACGACTACAAGCCGCAAGTTCTCCACTGCGACGTGAAATCCAACAACATCCTACTCGACGCGGAGCTTGAGCCTCACGTAGC